TGGTGCTTGTCCCTCAAAAAATCAAGATGACAAACATTTGATGGTTGAGATGCCATCAGCATTTTTCCTTTTTTTTTTTCTTCCTCTAAACGCAGTAACAGGTAGGGCATCTGGTATAAAGTCCTCTAGTGCCACATCACTCTGTAGAAATACCATAACTGTTTCAATAGGAAGTTCATTTTGAAAAATGTGTTTAAAATCATTTTAGTTGAGTTACTTACTTTGTTCATCTGTGCTCTGTGGTTTGTTGGTTCTCAAACATCTTCCTTTTTTTCTGAAACATCAGCTGTAACATTCATGAACTTCCCCACAGCTGCAGCAGAGCTCTGGATATCACTCTTTGTTTGTAGACGACTCTGGAACAAACACATTCAAATCTGAGTACAACTGTCACACTCTTGTAGATGGACAGTCAAATACAATTTGTCTCATGGAAACAGTCCTTGACATTAACTCTAATTTCAAGTAAAACACCACAAACATGTTTTAACAATGAGGACATTCTAGTGCAGAGAAGCACATAACATCTTTGAAAAGTCTCACCTCCAGATCAGTTCTCATAATCCTCCTGCTCCACACTGTGTTTCCTCTGCTCCTGGAACTGTCCTGTGTCCTGTTACATTAGAATTTTCCCTCCAAAAGTTTTGGGGAGGAGAATTCCAGAGGGAGGAGCCTCACCACAGATTAGAATAAAGTCATGTTTTCCTCAGTCTGATTAAAACATGCAGGTCTCACATCGGCCACAATCAAGTGACCTTTGTAAGATTTAAACATGCTGGACAGAGAAACGTTAAAAAGTCATGTTATTGTTGTCAAATTTGTTTTTGCAATTGGAGCAACCCCTCTCAGACCATTTTTTCAGTATAAGTTTTTTTATTTATTTCATTCTTTTCACAGACATTTGTCACACAGACACTTTACAGAGCATTATTCACTCCAGATGCGGTGGTGATAATAACCTGCTATTCTAGCCACAGCTGCTCTGGGGCAGAATGACAGAAGTGTGGCTGCCATGCCAATCGGCGCCATCGGCCCCTTGACCACCACCATCACTCACATGTACCTTTCATACTAGGCAATGTGGGTGAAGTGTCTTGCCTAAGGACACAACATAAACAGTTTTTTACAGCTGGTGCCCCCCTGTGGCACCTGATTTTCCCAGTGTCTCCCATTCAAGTCCTAACCAGGCCCGGAGCTGCTGAGCTTCTGAGATCTGATGACATCAGGTTTGGACAAGCCAGTGTGGCCACAAATAGAAAAGTCTTGAAAAATGGCCGCCATATTGAATTTTTGAGTGGCCAATGCCTTTTTCCTAAATAGCGGCCCTTAGAGAGTATCTGTGCCAAATTTCATGCTTTTATACCAAGTGAACGTTTTTTTCACTAATCTCCTGCACTAATATTTGAGAAGTGAGTGAGCTGGAGATTTGGTATTTTTTGGTATTCCTCTGTAAAAAGGCAGATTAAACTCACAAGTTGCATCTGTCTTTATATAAATACATAGTTTTCTAGTTCTTCTTTTGTGCATAAATAGTTTTTGCATGAGCGCCCCCTGCAGATGTAGTCTGGTGAGTGCAGTTTGGGTCAGATACACAGATACAGAAGAGTTTCCAGAGCTTTTGCCACACCCCTTTTAGTCGACCAACTGACTGACAGCACAGGTCTTTATTCCTGCAAGAATTTCTTTACTCGCCTAAAGTTGTAATATTTTCCTGTGTTTTTGAGGACGCATAACCATTTCCTTGTTTCCTAAGGTTGCTGAGGGAGCAGGTGCTCTGCTCTGCGGTGGACTCCAAAACACCAGAACTTTACAACCGCTGCAAAGTAGAAGAGCTTCTGATGAGTCCTGGGTAATGTAGCCTTCTGTAATTGAATGATAATATCAGATACACTTCACAGCGAGCGAGACAGACTAACTGAAAAACTGTGGCCTAATGCTGGCTCTTTTGTGACTGTAATGTTGTTGTTTAACAGCACAAATCAACTCACCTGTTGTAGTTCAGAGAAGTCATATCTTTATGATCAGATTGTGTTCAAATACAAATTACCCATTTCATACCAAACGAAACTCCAGAGTGGAGTGAGACTTAAACCAGACTTTTCTGTTGTGTTCACCTGGCTCCTCCTGGAGGCTGCTGTGATGTTGCAGGTGTCCTCCTGTTAAACTGCACTGACACCTGTGACTGAGACACAAAGGTGACACTGTGGACATGTGTAACAGTGGTGGTACAAACAGGACTAAATGAATAAGCAATTGAAGAGTTCTCAGACATGTGTGAAATAGAGCAGTCAGTCAGTGAGAAGATAACTACTACAACACGGTTAAAAGCTCTAAAAAGTCAATAGGGCAGAATAGGTCTGATTGAAGGAAAATAATGTTTTGTCTTATGTTTCCATTCTTTTCAGGTTGAAATATGCCCAGCCGAGCACACTGATCGGGTATGTTTGCTCCACGGACACGACAAGGATATATTTTGTATAGTTAATTTTCACATTCTAAAATTAGATAATGTCATCATTTCAGATGGAGCAGGCCCTATAGAACTTTATGGGAGATTTACTGTTTCTAAAGAAAGCTCCAAACAAATGTTTCTCCTTCTCGTTCTTTGTTTGGGATCGGCTCCACAAAACTTGTCATATGAATCTTATGTCTTAAAGTCCTTTTAGCTCAAACACTCACGTCTTGACGGTTGAATAATGACTCCACTTTCTGAAGCAATTGTCAAAAAACATTTGTCTTTAGTTTATTTCTCCTGACAGAGAAGATGCTGAACTTTGTGCCAGTTTTTGTTTCATGTGGATCGGTCTAGAAACTACAGAAATATGAACCATAAACCAGATCAAGACCTCTGTGATCTGACAGTTACAGAGCAAACTCCAACTGAGACTCTGACCAGTCTGAGCTCAGGTTCTGCTACTCTAGGGCTCTAGTACAGATATGTAGTGATTCTCACAGTAATAACCTGTCACTCTGTCGCCCCCTGCAGACGCACTGATGTAAACTCAGTGACAAACTGGAACGCACCGCTGGTCTGGGAGGGGACCTTTGACCCCGTGGTCATGGACAACATCTATAAACNCTTGACTTTTAAAGAAATTGTACTTTATAGAGAACTTTTCTAGCAGCACACTTACTCTTACTTGAGGAACATTTTTATTTAAGTACTAGTACTATTGTACAGTGTAACAGTACTCTTACTTTAGTAATATAGTGTACAGTGTAACAGTACTTGTTACTTGTACTTGTTAATCTGAAATGATTTGAACATTTGTGTTTCTTGCAGCTCCCATTAATCGGTAAGTGGAGTCTTAGTCATAAGTATTTATAGTGCAGCAGATTAATTGCATATTTCAAGAGAATCGTTCACTTTGGTATAAAAGCATGACATTTGGCACAGACATTCTCTAAGGGTCATGTTTTGGGAAAAAGGCGTTGGCCATTCAAAAAATTCAAAATGGCAGTCATTTTCATTTTTCAAGATGGTCACTATTTCTGTCAAATGTTCATTATGTCGAGCGTTCAAACTGTGATGTAGGCATAGCATTTTGTGAAAATACTCTGTTGAGAATGTTTTTTTTGGAGAATGGTGCTTGTCCCTCAAAAAATCAAAGATGACAAACATTTGATGGTTGAGATGCCATCAGCATTTTTCCTTTTTTTTTTTCTTCCTCTAAACGCAGTAACAGGTAGGGCATCTGGTATAAAGTCCTCTAGTGCCACATCACTCTGTAGAAATACCATAACTGTTTCAATAGGAAGTTCATTTTGAAAAATGTGTTTAAAATCATTTTAGTTGAGTTACTTACTTTGTTCATCTGTGCTCTGTGGTTTGTTGGTTCTCAAACATCTTCCTTTTTTCTGAAACATCAGCTGTAACATTCATGAACTTCCCCACAGCTGCAGCAGAGCTCTGGATATCACTCTTTGTTTGTAGACGACTCTGGAACAAACACATTCAAATCTGAGTACAACTGTCACACTCTTGTAGATGGACAGTCAAATACAATTTGTCTCATGGAAACAGTCCTTGACATTAACTCTAATTTCAAGTAAAACACCACAAACATGTTTTAACAATGAGGACATTCTAGTGCAGAGAAGCACATAACATCTTTGAAAAGTCTCACCTCCAGATCAGTTCTCATAATCCTCCTGCTCCACACTGTGTTTCCTCTGCTCCTGGAACTGTCCTGTGTCCTGTTACATTTAGAATTTTCCCTCCAAAAGTTTTGGGGAGGAGAATTCCAGAGGGAGGAGCCTCACCACAGATTAGAATAAAGTCATGTTTTCTCAGTCTGATTAAAACATGCAGGTCTCACATCGGCCACAATCAAGTGACCTTTGTAAGATTTAAACATGCTGGACAGAGAAACGTTAAAAAGTCATGTTATTGTTGTCAAATTTGTTTTTGCAATTGGAGCAACCCCTCTCAGACCATTTTTTCAGTATAAGTTTTTTTATTTATTTCATTCTTTTCACAGACATTTGTCACACAGACACTTTACAGAGCATTATTCACTCCAGATGCGGTGGTGATAATAACCTGCTATTCTAGCCACAGCTGCTCTGGGGCAGAATGACAGAAGTGTGGCTGCCATGCCAATCGGCGCCATCGGCCCCTTGACCACCACCATCACTCACATGTACCTTTCATACTAGGCAATGTGGGTGAAGTGTCTTGCCTAAGGACACAACATAAACAGTTTTTTACAGCTGGTGCCCCCCTGTGGCACCTGATTTTCCCAGTGTCTCCCATTCAAGTCCTAACCAGGCCCGGAGCTGCTGAGCTTCTGAGATCTGATGACATCAGGTTTGGACAAGCCAGTGTGGCCACAAATAGAAAAGTCTTGAAAAATGGCCGCCATATTGAATTTTTGAGTGGCCAATGCCTTTTTCCTAAATAGCGGCCCTTAGAGAGTATCTGTGCCAAATTTCATGCTTTTATACCAAGTGAACGTTTTTTTCACTAATCTCCTGCACTAATATTTGAGAAGTGAGTGAGCTGGAGATTTGGTATTTTTTGGTATTCCTCTGTAAAAAGGCAGATTAAACTCACAAGTTGCATCTGTCTTTATATAAATACATAGTTTTCTAGTTCTTCTTTTGTGCATAAATAGTTTTTGCATGAGCGCCCCCTGCAGATGTAGTCTGGTGAGTGCAGTTTGGGTCAGATACACAGATACAGAAGAGTTTCCAGAGCTTTTGCCACACCCCTTTTAGTCGACCAACTGACTGACAGCACAGGTCTTTATTCCTGCAAGAATTTCTTTACTCGCCTAAAGTTGTAATATTTTCCTGTGTTTTTGAGGACGCATAACCATTTCCTTGTTTCCTAAGGTTGCTGAGGGAGCAGGTGCTCTGCTCTGCGGTGGACTCCAAAACACCAGAACTTTACAACCGCTGCAAAGTAGAAGAGCTTCTGATGAGTCCTGGGTAATGTAGCCTTCTGTAATTGAATGATAATATCAGATACACTTCACAGCGAGCGAGACAGACTAACTGAAAAACTGTGGCCTAATGCTGGCTCTTTTGTGACTGTAATGTTGTTGTTTAACAGCACAAATCAACTCACCTGTTGTAGTTCAGAGAAGTCATATCTTTATGATCAGATTGTGTTCAAATACAAATTACCCATTTCATACCAAACGAAACTCCAGAGTGGAGTGAGACTTAAACCAGACTTTTCTGTTGTGTTCACCTGGCTCCTCCTGGAGGCTGCTGTGATGTTGCAGGTGTCCTCCTGTTAAACTGCACTGACACCTGTGACTGAGACACAAAGGTGACACTGTGGACATGTGTAACAGTGGTGGTACAAACAGGACTAAATGAATAAGCAATTGAAGAGTTCTCAGACATGTGTGAAATAGAGCAGTCAGTCAGTGAGAAGATAACTACTACTACAACACGGTTAAAAGCTCTAAAAAGTCAATAGGGCAGAATAGGTCTGATTGAAGGAAAATAATGTTTTGTCTTATGTTTCCATTCTTTTCAGGTTGAAATATGCCCAGCCGAGCACACTGATCGGGTATGTTTGCTCCACGGACACGACAAGGATATATTTTGTATAGTTAATTTTCACATTCTAAAATTAGATAATGTCATCATTTCAGATGGAGCAGGCCCTATAGAACTTTATGGGAGATTTACTGTTTCTAAAGAAAGCTCCAAACAAATGTTTCTCCTTCTCGTTCTTTGTTTGGGATCGGCTCCACAAAACTTGTCATATGAATCTTATGTCTTAAAGTCCTTTTAGCTCAAACACTCACGTCTTGACGGTTGAATAATGACTCCACTTTCTGAAGCAATTGTCAAAAAACATTTGTCTTTAGTTTATTTCTCCTGACAGAGAAGATGCTGAACTTTGTGCCAGTTTTTTGTTTCATGTGGATCGGTTTAGAAACTACAGAAATATGAACCATAAACCAGATCAAGACCTCTGTGATCTGACAGTTACAGAGCAAACTCCAACTGAGACTCTGACCAGTCTGAGCTCAGGTTCTGCTACTCTAGGGCTCTAGTACAGATATGTAGTGATTCTCACAGTAATAACCTGTCACTCTGTCGCCCCCTGCAGACGCACTGATGTAAACTCAGTGACAAACTGGAACGCACCGCTGGTCTGGGAGGGGACCTTTGACCCCGTGGTCATGGACAACATCTATAAACGAGAAAATCCGAGGATCGCTGTGCTGGTTTTAGCTGTTGGCAAGTAAGTTCATAATAAAACTAGAGGAATCATCGCCATGGTAACCTACGTGTTGACATCTGCAGTACACACAAAGTACAATACAGACATGACATACGTACAGTGTGGAGCTAAAACAGAGTGTAAACTCATATTAAGACTTAGCATTAAAATGTAGGTTTAAAAGGCAGTTAAGGTGCAACAGTAGATCTGAAAGTGGATACTCCTGACCCGCAAGTTTGCACTGATACATTATGTGGCCTGGATAGAACGTGAGTAGAGCAAGAGCAAAATTCCGATGGAAAATAAAATAAAAACAGTGCCAGAAAAGTCATGGTGAAAGTGTTTAAATGGACATATAAAAGTGCATAGGTCCATGTAATAATGCACAGCTCCACCTGTTTCTGTCAGGACTTTTACTCTGAATACATGTGTTTTTCATCCTAAAAACACTGCACTGGTCTAGTACATGTATCTTACACAGAACTCGACTGACCACGTGGACACAATTACTGATCAGTATTCTGTTTACTTCAGGCCTATTACTATAAAAGAAGAGTTTATTACCTAAAAAGGAAACAAAATCTCAACATTTGAAAATGAGTTTGATAGAACGTGAGTTTAATAGAACATGAGTTTGATAGAACGTGAGTTTAATAGAACATGAGTTTGATAGAACGTGAGTTTAATAGAACACGAGTTTGATAGAACGTGAGTTTAATAGAACACGAGTTTGATAGAACGTGAGTTTAATAGAACACGAGTTTGATAGAACGTGAGTTTAATAGAACATGAGTTTGATAGAACGTGAGTTTAATAGAACATGAGTTTGATAGAACGTGAGTTTAATAGAACATGAGTTTGATAGAACGTGAGTTTAATAGAACATGAGTTTGATAGAACGTGAGTTTAATAGAACACGAGTTTGATAGAACGTGAGTTTTGTAGACCATGAGTTTGTCAGCATGTGAGTTTGGTAGAACCTGAGTCTGGTAGAACGTGAGTTTGTTAGAACATTAGTTAGATAGAACTTGAGTTTGGTAGAACGTGAGTTTGGTAGAACATGAGTTTGGTAGAACGTGAGATTGGTAGAACGTGAGTTTGGGAGAATGTGAGTTTGGTAGAACATGAGTTTGGTAGAACATGAGTTTGGTAGAACTTGAGTTTGGTAGAACGTCAGTTTGGTAGAACATGAGTTTGGTAGAACATGAGTTTGGTAGACCGTGAGTTTGGTAGAACGTGAGTTTGGTAGAACGTGAGGTTGATAGAACGTGAGTTGGTAGAATGTCACTTTGGGAGAACAGTAGTTTATTAAAATGTGAGATTGGTAGAACATGAGTTTGGGAGAACTTGAGTTTGGGAGAACTTGAGTTTGGTAGAACGTGAGTTTGTTAGAACATGAGTTTGGTAGAACTTGAGTTTGGGAGAACTTGAGTTTGGGAGAACTTGAGTTTGGTAGAATGTCACTTTGGGAGAACAGTAGTTTATTAAAATGTGAGTTTGGTAGAACATGAGTTTGGTAGAACGTGAGTTAGATAGAACATGAGTTTGGTAGAACGTGAGTTTGATAGAACATGAGATTGGTAGAACATGAGTTTGGGAGAATGTGAGTTTGTTAGAACATGAGTTTGGTAGAACATGAGTTTGGTAGAACATGAGTTTGGTAGAGCATTAGTTAGATAGAACATGAGGCTGGTAGACCGTGAGTTTGGTAGAACATGACTTTGGTAGAACGTGATTTTGGGAGAATGTCACTTTGGTAGAATGTCACTTTGGGAGAACAGTAGTTTATTAAAATGTGAGGTTGGGAGAACATGACTTTGGTAGAACGTGAGGTTGGTAGAACGTGAGTTTGGCAGAACATGAGTTTGGCAGAACATGAGTTTGATAGAACATGAGTTTGGTAGAACATGAGTTTGGTAGAATGTGACTTTGGTAGAACATGAGTTTGATAGAACATGAGTTTGGTAGAATGTGAGTTTGGTAGAACATGAGTTTGATAGAACATGAGTTTGGTAGAATGTGAGTTTGGGAGAAGGTCACTTTGGGAGAACAGTAGTTTATTAAAATGTGAGGTTGAGGTGAATTTGGTAGAACATGAGTTTGATAGAACGTGAGGTTGGTAGAATGTGACTTTGGAAGAACAGTAGTTTATTAAAATGTGAGGTTTGGAGAACGTGAGTTTGGTAGAACAGGAGTTTGGTAGAACGTGATTTTGGGAGAATGTCACTTTGGGAGAACAGTAGTTTATTAAAATGAGAGTTTGGTAGAACGTGAGTTTGGGAGAACATGGGCATTAGATAAACATACACAATTATAAGGAAAAATCCGGCGTCCAGCGAACACGTTTCCAACATGTATCATCATAGATCACACTAGGGAATTCCATAAATGTTACCTAGAACCACGTTTTACACGAGGCCCAAACTCTTCTACGGTACACAGATATTATTACTTGACAAACAAAAATATAAGAAAACACCTTTATTTAGTTGAAATCATGTTTAAATCAGGAAAAAAATGTATTGCTGGTGTAGAACCTTTGGATAGAAATCTCTCTATAGTTATAACTCTAATATAGATTTTTTTTTTTCTTTCTGCTTTCTGTCATTTTCAACATATTTTTTTATATTTCTTTGCAAATTGCTTCTTGATTTGTGTAAAAATAACTTATTTTCACAGTGGTGGTGGGGGGGGGTCTATGACGTATAAGGATTTTCAACAAGCAAATTTTAAAATATTAAAAATTTAGTTTCTATTGAACTTTTTCAAATATTTACAATGTCAGGTCTGCATAAATCTATGTTTAACATTTATATTAAGCATTTTTAGTGTTGTTTTTATGTAAATGTATTGGCTATGACCTTAAACAATGTCATGTGGGACTACAAAACACTTCAGAAAATATGCCAAAAAAGAAAGAAAATCTATTTGATTACATTTAGAATCATTTTGAAGAAGTTTAAACATCAGCAGTTAAGTGTGGACGGTCACACCTCATGACATTTGAACACTTTAAGTACAAAAAACTCTCAGAATAACTAATGATTTCTGAAAAAATGATTTGGTTCCATGGAGATCAGTGGTACTACAGATATGTGGTGAATTATTATGAAATTCGAACCAAGAAATTGCAATTGGACAGAAGATTTTGGCGTCATTTACCCGGGTTCTATCCCGCCAACATAGAAGTAGAGAATCACCAAAACCTGTCACATGCACTTTAACCTGTAGTAACCAGCATCCAGTTCTATAACTCCAGCTCAGACTCACACACAATCATCTCTTCAATACTTCTGCTCACAACACAGACCAGTGCAGGGCTTTGGGGTTTATTCTATTTCATATTTCAGAGGAAAATGTCCTTTACATTTGAACAGGTACACTCAGTTTTTGAAAGGATTTCTGGAGACGGGAGAGAAGTATTTCTTTGTTGGATTCAGAGTGACGTACTACATCTTTACGGACAATAAAGAAAACGTTCCGAAGGTAAGTTGCGATACAACCAACCCATCAAAGTCACATAAATCAGATGTGAAGTAACAGACTACTACAGTTGACCTCTATGATTCCTGTCATATTCCAAAGAATTAAATATCACGCTGTTTTCTGATCTGTGTTATACGCTGCAAAAACTCAAATCCAGCCAAGTTATGATTACTTGAATTAAGAAAGTTTGATTCTGATTTGAGTAAATTTCACTTGAGAAGTAAAATTAGAACAAAACTTTTTGTACTTAAAACAGAGCTGTCAGACTCAGGCCCGGGGGCAATATTTGGCCCTCGAGATCATATCAAATCTGTATTAGAGCTGCCCACCGGCTACAGATAGACTATAGAGACATTATTTATTTAAAATGGTGTTATTATTTTATATTCTGCTTGTTCTGGATTCAAAGTTTTAGCAAAAACTATTATTAAACATTTATTTTTAATAAGAAAAGATTTACAATAAATATTTAGTTTGGCCCATGACTTAGTCCCAGTTTTTCATTTTGGCTTCTGTGAATTTGAGTTTGACACCCCTGACTTAAAATATGAAAATAAAATATATGAAAAAGATAAAATCTTGCTACACTTAAGATAAGAAAACCACAACTCTTTGCACTTAAAATAAGAAACAAAATCCATTGGTAGATCATTTTACTTTACTTGTCAAGCTGAATCTACTCATTTTAACTGACTTAGATATGAGTTTTTGTGGTGTAATGTTGCTTCCTCATCACAAACAGACCTGGAGGTGTGTGTGTGTTGTTTTTTTTATACATGTTTAAGACACAAACCCTGAAGATTTAAGCTGAGTTCTTCTCTCAAACTGAAAACACTCTCTTCCACCTTATGATGTCATGTGGTAATACAGGAAGTGCTCCACTGTGTTTTTAAACTCCATACATCTTCATTAGAATCATTGCGATGATTTAGATTCTAACATGGCTAAAAGCTCACAGGAGTCTATTTTGTTTAATATAGGACCTTTAATGCAGAAAAGTTCATTCTGTCTGCAATAAAATGGAGCAAAAGGCCAAGCCCTGTGATGTAGCTCCCCTGGTTTTTGTGTCCGTTGCTGAAGAAGAAGTTTGTACAAGTCGATATATTGAGCAGCCCACAATCCTGTGAGAGACAGTGACAGTTGACACTGCCACATCACAATATTTCAGTCAAGTTTTTACACCCCAAGTACAAATGTAGACCTGTTCATATCCTGTCTGTGTTCCACTCTTCTCCAACAAGCCACAGTCCATCAAATTAAATAAATCTTTATTGTCATAAAGCTGTGCATACAACTGTAGTGCTGGCAAGATGAAATTACATTTCTCTAGGTAACAGTCAATAAAAGAACTTAATTTAAACACTCATGACCTCCCCGCCTCCCCCTGCCCCAACATCCATTCACCCATCCCTAAGGGTGTTTTCACACCGACAGTATTTGGTGCGCACCAAACGGTCCATTCAAACCAAAAGTGGTTAGTTCGATTCGTTTGCGTTGGTGTGAAAGCGTCAATCGGACTCGGACCCGAACCAAATCAAGCGGACCGAGACCTCAAAAAAGAGGTGGTCTCGGTTCGCTTGAATCTGCACCAAATGACCAACTTTGGTGCGGTTCCTCTGGTGTGAACGCGAACTCTGGTCCAAACCAGAAACAGTAGGTCCAAACGGACTATTCGAAATGCATCATGGGAGGGGATACGCAACTCCAGCGCAGTAACAGATTGTTGTCCAGACGCAGCCGTGATTCATTTCCGAATTATTTTACCAACCATGGCCAATACAGAAAATGTAATACACGATGATCAGAGTAAGAACCAATGTGCGAACGTGTGGCTCCAGAGTGAGTCAAAATTATGAGTGCGTACCCCTGTTCAGGACCTGCACACACAGAGAGATCCCGGTGTTCCCCGTGATCATGTAGCAACCAGCATTTGTTATTTTAGACCATTAATTAACCAAATAATTTCATGGCAATAGGCAATAGCCTATTCAATTGATGTTGTACTGTTTTTAGGCTAGTGTGAGAAATACAGTCAGACAAGATCCAAACCAGAGTCCTGACCCAGCAGTAGCAGTTCCGGTTCAGGCCGGGCTCAGAGGAGCTGGAGCGGAGAGTGATGTCAGGAGCCTCGGCCTGAGTAGCGCTTTCCCCGGGAAGAACCAAATGCGAGGAGCACGGACGCTCAGAACGACATATAACCAACCAAACTGGATTCATGCTTCTGTCCGGATGCTTTGCACCACCTCGGAACCAGCGGCGTTTCTTGAGCGTGGAGGACCGGAGCAGCCCGCACAGACCTGTAGGTAGTACCCAGCGCATTCTCACTTTCCCCGCATGGAACCAGCGCGCAGACGACAGAACGTACCCGCTCAGACCCAGTCCTATTGTGCACTGGTCTTGCTCGCCACCATTTGGAACCAGCACATGGAGGACAGAGCCTCCGGACCATCTGACCAACACGCCTGTAGGACGACAGAAGACCAAGGACCAGACCCGAGCCACGTCCGGAGGAGCTGCGCACTACTGTGAGCGCTGTTGGCTGAGAGTAATGAAGTTGGCTCAACATTTGACGTTCGCTTGATATTCGGGGTTTAACTTTCCCACAATAAGACCCAAACATGCATTTTGCCTAAATAACTTGACCTAGGTTAAACAAAGTGCAACCTGATAATGTCTATATAACAAAACAACAACATAAATACTACCTATCGATTTATAGGCAAAAAATCTACTCAGGCTGCTCCAACCTTTGTTCTGTGGTTAACGTCTATGTTAGGGACCATCAACAAATAGTCACCACATTGTTGGAGGGAGTCACTTTGACATTAGTGGAGCCGGGGTATACAATAACTACTTGAACAAAAAATTCACCAAAAATCAACCAAAACACTTTTTCCAAATCTGTGGGGCGTAGTAGTTCCCAAATAAATGTGTTTATTTACTACAGGTCACAAGTTGCCCTGAAATCATGATGACAAAAATTTCCTTCAAAATTTCTCTTAAAATCAACAACATGACTATTTTCACTTCTGATGGGTGTAGTAGTTGCCCATCTATTTTACAGGTCACATTTTACACCAAAGTCACATAACATCTTTCAGTGTTGTCTGCTGCAACCAATGTGACCTGTACCACCAGTAACAAATATTCCCAGATTTGTCACCATTGCATGTATTGTTTATATGGAGTTTGTTGTCAGATTCTACTATTCAACAATTGTTATGGGATTTTGGTGCTATGGCAATGATCAACCTGTAGACAGTAACAACCACACCTTGATAGCAGTCAGAGTTTTTTTTTTTGGTGCTGCATTGGTATTATACCTGATAAAGCAGTACCTGATATATAGTCTTTCACTCATGTTACATAACAAGGAAGAAATATGTGATAACAACAAATGCAAGGAAAATCAACAAAACATTCATAATTTCCATAGCTTTAATACTTTTAAATTTCACCCATATAAACAGAACAGGGAACAAAAAATAACAGAAAATTGATTCATAAAAAGGCCAATAAATAAAAATAAACAGATAAATAACACAAAGAACACAACTCAGTTATTATACATATATATATATATATATATATATATATATATATATATATATATATATATATATATATGTATACATATATATATATACACATATATACACACATATATATATACATATAATTTGATAAAATTTTAGCTCTTGAAAGTAGAATAAATACCTATGCTATGGATAATTATACCTCCATTCTGACTTTTATTTGATAAGTCTTTGGATTAGTGGCATAAAAAAAATATATATATATGTGTGTATATATATATATATATATATATATATATATATATATATATATATGTATATATATATGTGTGTGTGTATACATATATATATACACACACACACACACATATATATATATAACACACATATATATATATACATATATATATATATATATATATATATATATACACACATATATATATATATATACATATATATATATACACACACATATATATATATATACATATATATATACACACACACATATATATATATATATATATATATATATATATATATATATATATATATATATATATATATATATATATATATATATATATATATATTTTTTTTTTTTTTTTTTTATGCCACTAATCCAAAGAATTATCAAATAAAAGTCAGAATGGAGGTATAATTATCCATAGCAAAGGTATTTATTCTACTTTCAAGAGCTAAAATTTTATCAAATTATATTAAAAAATGGAAAAAAGAATTCTACTCACTATCCAAAAGAAAAAGTACTCACGATAAATACTGAAATCCAAAATATATTATTATAGCTTTTATATATTGAACGATAAATCAATATTGTTATCATCATGGCAGGCCTAGACACAGGTAGGTGACGGATCCTCCTAAAGAAAAGCCTTGCAGTCTCTCCTTTTGTCCTCCCAGGCATCAGTGCTTCCCCTCCTGCAGCAGCAAGGCCAGCAACAGCATATTTGTCCTTTTCTTCATATGCAGAGTTCACACATCCATGCAGAGATGCGAGAAATGTCCTCTGTGTCCATCGACAAACAGGCTGTGTGAAACCATCTCTCACACCTTTCACACTGGATCTGTACATGAATGACATGAGATTTTCACAGAAATGCTGTTAACAAAACAATATTAGAAAATGCCTCACCTCCATCACAAATAACCCGCAACTCGTGCCATCCTGCTGAGCAGGGTGAAGGATGGTGGCAGCTTTCCACACTTGGCTTAACCAGTCTTTCTGCCCACGCAAGTTAAACCTTGTTTTAAAGTACTTGCTGAAAACACAGAGACATAAGGACACAAAGTATTAAGAGTTATTGACATGATGTCTGATACACCACTTACTAAGATGACTTAACACCAGTTTTTTATCCCTGTTCACTAACTATCAACACAAATTATGCTGATTTGAATTGAATTGAATTGAAATGAACTGAACACAATTGTTACCGGAAG